CTAAATGTACCATCTAAATATATATAATTTGCATTTTCTAACATTTTTAATTGCTTTTTTGTTGAAAATATTACTATACGTTGATCGATTGGTCCGGGATCAAACTGTAAAAATGTTTGATCACGAGCTGTTATTGTATATTGTGGATCAATAACAATTGAATCACGAGTCGTTGGTAATGATAATGGATTTTGATTTCGTTACCGAATTCGTTGAACATTACGTTTAAGATTTCGCAAATTTGTTAAAGATGAAATAGCATTATCAGATAATGTAGCTACAGCATCAGTTACACTTGTACGTGCTGTTGCCACTTGTCCAGCTGAATGATTTGGTTTGTGATTGTGATGACTAACTGTTTGAAAATCAGTCCTGAAACTGACCGAAAAGGGGATACTTTATTAGAGAAATGTGAAAATTTCCACGTTTAGATAAATTTCGAAACTTTTTGAACAAGCAGATTTTGTAAAGGGCACAATGGTGCAGTTTTTGTGAAAGTTTCGCCAGTGTATAACTTTTTATTGTTGAGATAATGTCTCCTTAAGTTTTCATATATATATATATATATATGGGGTTGAGCAGTCTGACCGGAGGCTCTAACTGTTTTTTTGGTCATGCTGTCTTCTATAACATATAATATAAATATGATTTTTTTAATAGTTATAGTACTCGTATAGTGCTGAGGATGGATGAAAAATAAGAAGTCTATATCATGAGATTAATAACTTGGTCGAAAAATACAATAATGTTACCAATATCACAATTCACCTTTTCATTCATTAAAGAATTAATGACAATAATCAATAATATATCTAATTTCGTAACCGAAATATCTAAAGTAGCATTAGAAAAGGATGAAAAATTTGTAAGTTTAGACATTGAAGATATATTCACCAATATACCAATAACCAGAGCTATTGATATCACAATAAACAGAATTGACAAATCAATACCATTCAATGAATCATCATTAACGAGAAAAGATCTAATGAAATTACTCACTGTATCATTAAACAATAATTATATTAAATTTAATAA